GGCAGCCTGGCGCGGGGGGGCTGTGGAGCGAGGGGCCGTGCGGCCCCTTGGCAGAGCTCGGGTCGCTGTGGGGGGATTGGGCCGTCAGGTGAGCGCCCGCTCAGCGCCGCAACGCCCCGACGGTGGGTCACACTGATGGCGAGCAACAGCGCTTAATGGCAAAAGTGTTTTGGCCGCTACCTTTTCCTCTGAAATCTCTCATTTCACTACTTTGTAGGAATGCGGTGCCGTACTTCTTACACTTTGCTACTAGTATGTGCAATGACTACGTTTTTAAGTAGCTGCAGGTAATAAGCGCTCAACTAAAAGTAGTTGCTGGATAATTCTGTCTCTTAAATAGCTGCAGAAGATGCAAAAAGAAAAAGTAAACCTGCAGAATGAGCTGACCAACTTTGAAGAGCGTATGGAAGCAATGACATCTCATTTGAAAAACGTAAGACAAGAGTTCAGCTTCACACAGGTAAATGCCTACCTCTGGCAGATACATCTTATCAGACAGGCTTGTAATTTTTTTTTTCTTGTAATCTAAGTATCTTTCTGTGGCTGGTATCCCTAGATGTTTTGACAGCTTTGTTAGAGATTTGTCAGGACTTTCACAGGAAACAAAACTTAAACTTTATATCTTGGTGATATTATGTGATGATCATTAAAAAGACCAAGATCAAATGACTGTACCTAGAAGAAAGCCAAGGAGGATGGATTTTAGAATTCGTTATTAATGGAGACTTTTGTAGATGATAAGAAAAAGTTGGTCAAGGAAAATAAAACATCAGTGGAATGTTAATGTATAATCTATGACATGATCAAGAGTTAATTGTGAAATGCTAGTGAACAGTTAATTCATGGGCATAAAAAAGGAAATGAGATGGTTAGGTGGATGTCTTCACTTACACTCTGAGTTAACTGGCCAAAATAGGTGGTTTAGATTTCTAAATAGACCTGAGTCAAAGCTGCACACCTTTCAGGTAAAATGTCCTAGGTGAAAAAGTCTTGAGAAACTTCCTGCAGCTGAACAACTTCTTGATTATTTTTTTTTGTGTGTGTGCTAAGAGTCAAGCTTTAATCTGCACATAAAGAGACGGTGAAAACTAGTCTCTATTTAAGAAAAACTTCTAGTAAGTAATAGATTTGTTCTTATACAAGGAAGAAAACCCCTGTTAAATCACTTTTTTCAGACAGATTAGACAATATAGAGACGATGCTGTGGGCCAGCCTGGTGGCGTTCTGTCTCTGCACAAAACAATAAAATGATTTATTTTGCTGTGCCTCCTGAATCTGATGTAAAGCCACTGGTGATCAAAAGACTAAGATTTTGATTTTGAAAGATTAAGATTCAGAATTTTGGGTGAGATATCTTTGAGTTTTTAGGGCTATAAATGATTGTTCTGTGGATATCTGATACAATATAATGGGAGTGTGTGTATGTGTGTGTGTATATATTAGAATACATGTATTTGAGATTCTAAAATCCAAACAATAAAGTTGCTCTGAAAATTTGTGTATTTACATCTGACTTGGGGTTTGGTTGTATGTAAAAAAAAAGGTGGGGGGGGAGTTTGTTCATATATGCCTCTTGTTTATTGTAAAATACTGAACTGTATTATTCTCTAGTCTCTTTACAAAGCCAGAGAGAATGAAATTGAAACTGAACAACACTTTAAAGCCCTTGCTGAGAGAGAACGTGGACGTCTCAAAAGTGAAATTAAACGACTGGAAGATGAGATAGTTTCCTTAAGAGAAAAGAAAAACAGTCAAGAAGTAAGGTTTAAATTTTTTTGTAAGAGAACACCCATATTGCAGTTAGGTTTTATGACTTTTCCTCACTTGCACTTACAGAAGTAATAGTATGAATCAAGAATAGATTATTATAATTAAATCTTATAAACTATAATAAATGATCTGGATGTGCTTTTCCCTAGGTAGGCAAGTAGAGTAACACTGAGGAGCTCCTTGCATAGACTGGTCAACTCTTAGCAAATATTAACTAGATATTGCAAGACTTAATGTTCTTAATGCCAGATACACAGCCACACATTCACATCACCATCCTGTTAATTCTCTCAGGTATTTTCTTTGTGGTTTTAAAACTTAAATTGTTGGTGGCATATCTTCTTCCCCATGTAAAATAAACTTGGGGAATGATTTTGAGATAAAAAAATTGCTTTACATTAAAAAAAAAAGTAATCTAATGCTATCTGATGGAACTGTCTCTTTTTCTTTCTATGAATAATTTAAATTATGTTGGGTTTTTTGTTTGGTTGTTTTTTTTCATTTGCTCTCTTTTTTTCTCATGAAGTCTGTTTGTAATCTCTAGTCTCTCAGAATGAGTAGCAGGAGAAAGATATCCTTGCTATTCATCTGGATTCAGATTCTCTCATATTTGTGTCAGGAAGTCTCTTCACAGTCACATGGGGCCATTTGTAAATTGATATTGAGAATAAGGATCTAAGAATTGGGTCATAGTGTGTGAGGGAGAAACTCTACCCTAGGATGCCTCAGATCAGTTTATTACGTAGAATAAATATCCTGCATATAGGTATATCTCACAAGAGGTTGACTTTTCTGTTTAAAATTATTTGCATTTTAAGTTTGTGGTGACTTACTGTCTTGTTTCTTTTTTAAGACCAGGAAATGTGTTAGCATTCCTCATGTTTAATACACAGTTAACACAAAAAAAACCCTAGCAATTCTGTTAACAACAAGATGTGTGGAAACTTGTTACAGCAGCTTGAACTGGTTGTTTCAATTACTATTCAAAGAAAATATTAGACTTTTAATATTAACCCTTAATTTATTTCTAATTTTATTAGAATACTATAAATAAAACCACCAAGAAGTTGGAAAACTTAAAACAACAGATGAACTGTGATGAGGAAGTTCTGGAGAGCTGGATAAAGGAATCAAATCGTAAAGATAATGATGCTATCACAATCCAGAAGTATTCACAACAAGATGAAGGGAAACTAGGAGTAAGTAGAAATGAAAGCAATTTGCAAAAACAAAAGAGAGAACCATTTTAGCATTTGAAGACTTTGTTATGTTATCAGGTCAGGTAAGACTGAGATAAGATTTTGTACAACGGTGCTAAACTGGTTTCCACTTAACACAGCAGTGCAATTCCATAAGAGGTTTTTTAAAGGTCAGAGAGAACAAGTTTTGTAAGAAGTGAAAGGCATAATTGAAGACACTAATTTGTTTGGTCCTTTGGGTAAAATTTAAGTTTTTCCGAGAAAGTGTGCAAATGGATAATAAAGTCTAGAAAACAGTACCACTGAATTGAGAGGAATTTGTTCAAAAAATACATGCCCAATATGTACAAATATTGTACATTTTCCCATTAGAACCAAATTTGTTATTATTGCTGCTTAATGGTATAAAAGAGGATGGTAAAAGATGGTATAAACAGACACTCCAGTTACAAGTTGAGACTTTATAAGAGTTAGTTCTCAAGTATAATATTAATTTAGAGATAAGCATCCCTGGTTAATTTTCTTTTGAACCTTTAAATACAGGGAGGAGACAACTGATTTTGACTCATTAAATACTTAACCCAAAAACTTCAGCTTACACAAAGAGTGTCTCTGATATTATTTAGGTTAGCAAGTCGCACAGCATAGTAGGAAGAGTAAAGTGAAACAGCTGATACTATTTACAGTTTATGTGTGGTGGAGGATTACTTTGGCCTAGCACCAGTCTGGTGCCAAAGACTGACAAGAGATTGTGGCCACTTCTATGACCAAAAATTTGGGAGGCTGGATTCTCAGCATTTTTTTTTTCCTCTAAAACACAATGAAATTGGTGCCTCAGTAATTTCACCCCTAATTATAGCACAGCTTTAAGAATTTATAAAGCACTATATATTTGTTCTCAAATACATTATATTTTTGTATCTTTTCATTTTAGGCATTAACCCTTCAAGTAGAAAAGTTGACCATGCAAGCAAATCAGAAGCGCAGAGCTCTTGATAATGAGCTTACAGAAACCTTAACAGCTCAGGTTTGTGCTTAAGGTTCTTGAAGACATCTTGTCTTCTTGACATATATGAAATTTTCAAAGTCAGAAAATCACGGAGGTGCTTTCTTATAAACAGATAGAACTTGACAAGACAGCTGAAGATTTTCGCAGAGTTCATCAGGAAAGGCAAGAAGTCATCAGGCAGTGGGAGAATGCAATACAACAGATGCAGAAAAGAGATCAACAGATTGATCACTGTGCTTTGGTAAAACTACTGTAACTGATCCATATCAGTGTATCAGCCTACTTTTGTGTCTATGATATTGATAGAATGATTGGATCTTTTAGACATTTAGTATTCTCTTTGTGTTTACCTCTATTTTATTAAGGGGTTTCAAATTTCAGATATTACTGAAATGTTTTCAGAATTTATTTTGAAAGTAATATCTCTCAGTGTAAATAAGGGTGCTCTGCTTGGTTTAATTTTCAGTCTCAAGGTCATTAGAAAATACAAAGCATGCCAGTTTCAGTAGTTTATTTTCTTTGATCTAAGAAGCAACAAGATGGAATGTTGTTTCTTAGAGAGTAAGGACAGTCAACTGCAAGTAAGAGATTCTGTGTCTGGGCTGCAATATTAAAAAGAAAATAGAACACTTAGAATTGAAGGAATTAGCATTGCTACCTCTGTGAACAAATGCAAGACTTAACATTTATGTCAGAATTATGATGAATATTCACTTTAAAGTTAAAAATTGGTCCTTAAATACTTTCTGCAAATGAAGAGAAGCAACAGCAAACTTCTAATCCAAAAAAGATCCCATTGGGCATTATGAGCTAGTGTTCATTTCTAAAAGACATAGTCTTCATTGGTTTTGTCAGTGTCTTATGCACAGATGGTACAATGGCAAAAGGTACAAATAAAGCAAATTTTATCTTGGCTTTGTCAGGAGAAGGGTGAACCCCTCGGAAAGTTCTGCAGGGGAACAGAACAGATGCACCAGAAAAAGCCTGACAGACCAGTGGAAAGAAAAATTTATAAATGTGGATTCCAAAGTAACAATGGCTTTTTTGGAATGGGAGGATAAAGCATAGTTGCACGTACAAGAAGGCTCTACCTAAGTCTGCTAGTATTTTCCTACTGAAAGAATACCAGCTTTCTTATGTTGCCCATATGGGTATTAGGTATACCCTGAGCAGAAACAGATATACCACTAAAAACAGTAAGCCAGAAGACATACTACCAAACAGAAAATATAATGGTCTAATTCAGCTAAAATATTTTGTATTCCATAGTATTTCAAGTCAGAAGATTCCTGCAAAGACCAAACAACAAAAATATATTAAAAAAACAAACAAAACAAACCCCAAACAAACCACAGCAAACAAAAAAAAAACCCTAACACCCCAGCTCCAGCCAACGTTCCATAAATTAGCAGTCCATAGAATAGTCCTACTGATGCTTTTGTAAACATGGTTTTTTTCTTTGCATTAGAACTACAGTGTACTTTTCCCAGTTGCTAATCTTTTACTTAACCTTTCGAAATGCAGTTTTCACTGAATAGCTATAAATCTGTGAGCTAATTAAGCATCACTACTGTTGTAATTTTCCTCTTGCATTTCCTCCATTTCAAGTCTTATCTGAAGTTTTGTTCACATTGCTTTTTTTTCCCCCTGTTCAATCAATCAAAAATTCTTTTTATTTCATACAAGTTTATAGTGTCATGTTTTTTTAAATTATTGGAATATTCTGAAGTTGCCAATCCAAAGCAATTGTAGCATTTGGTGTTGTGATATATTAGTGGAATAAAGTGATTTAAGAATGATGTGATAACTGAGCTGTCTCCTGCAAAGAGTAGTCTTAACAGCAATCTATCTTCTGGTTGTACCCTTTATTAATCTACCACATCTTGACTAATGCAGGCAAATCTAAAATGTTTTTATCCTGATAGCTAATAGCAGAGATAAAACAGGAGATCAGAAAGAAAGAAATTTTGCTGAAAGAGAAGACTTCCTTTTTGGTAAATGAAACTCTCAATAATGTGGAATATGAAAAGAAAATTTCTTCGGCTGAACGGGAAGCTACCAGCCTCCGAAATGAGTATCAAACTCAGGAAACTTACAGAATTCAGCTGCAGGATGAGGTAAGGGTGACCAAACAGTTCAGAAAACCAGACTGAAACTATAACTTTTGACTAGATGGAGGAAATAAAGGAATAGCATTTGTTTTTTTTCTGGTTTTATACTAGAGTCTTCATAATTCAACAAAATATCTGCCTTTCTCAGTCTACTCATGATCACTGGCATCTGTACCCCTAACTTAATCCTTTTATTGATAGTGTTGAAGAGATTAGCTTGTATTCTCTGTTGTGTTGGTATAAAATGGGTGAATTTTCTCTTAAATGGTGTAACGCTATTAGATGCTTCAGAAGGAGGCATGTCTTGCCTTTAGCATACGTAGACTGCGATATTGCATAAAGATGAGACAAGTCTCCTCTGGATTCCAAACAACTCCTGTCCTCTCCTCTCAGAAGTGAGTGTTGGTGGCCTTATAGTCAGGTTAAAATTCTTGAGAAAAAACCTGAACAATTGCATGTGGCTTTCTAATCAAGAGGTAGTAGGACAGGGCTGCCCTGTGAACAAGCTATGCTTGATGCTGTTCATACTTTGTTTCTTGTATTTAATCTGCACTTAAAGCTAGGAACGAGCTGCACTGCTTAATTACTTAAACACCTATAGAAGGATTTCTAAGAGTCAAGACAAATCTCATGGCTGTGTTGAGAAGGGCTACACTAGTATTACCCAAGTAAGATTCTTTTAAGAAAATGGTAACACTGGGCTACTTGGCAAGCTTGGTGATTTTTAAAAAACAAAATCAAAACCAAACCCCACCAAACCAACTGCATCTGCTCTTGCCTTAATTTTGGATAGCTTTTCTGTAGCAGGTGGTTCAGAAACTGATATCCTAATTAAACTGTAGGTAGCTCAAACGAGGTGTGGGCTACTAGATTACCCTATAATCCATGCAAACTTGAAAGTTCACAGAATTGGTAGGTTTTCATCTCTAAGCTGTCAGATTCTTGCTTGACATTTTTCACAATTAATACTACATAATGCGATAATGAGAACAGTCTGCCATTATTAGGTGTTAGAACATCTGTGGCATGCAAGTGAAAAACAAGGAAAGAAAGACTTACAGTTCAGCTGACAATTTGTGACCTCCCAGTTTCCCATTCTGGTACAGAGAGACCTGCTGTATACCCTTGATAGGTTTCTTCATCTGTGAAAGTGAAGACAATTACACTTACACTGTGAAGACTAATGAGCTGCTGATTGTAAAGTATTCCTATCCTGTTATTAGAGTGTATGCTGTCATGAATTTTTTACCAAATTAAATGTCTGTGTATTTTTGTCACAGTGTTCCCTTATCTTAATCAAAATAATTTTATCTACCTAACAAAGTTTGAATTTGAAATATTTATTAGATATACGAGGCTGTTTGTGTTCACAAAGAACCTCATCGAAGTCAGCTGTGCTCTATAAAACTGTGGTTCTACTTAGACAGATGCTGTTGGACAAGAAATAGACCCCACAGCACCTTCATGATTCATTATATAGTCTTAAGTATTTTGTCCCAGTATTCAGATTATGTAAGTTAGTCTATTTAGTTTACTAGCTGTGGTGATTTACAATACCTCAGAATTTGTAGCACTTCTCCTTTAGAAACCACTGTTAAAAGTAAATGGAATACTTTTCAACAAATAGGTCCCATACAATTGTAAATATCCTAACATTTACCAAAGTAAGAGTTTGATTGCTGCATTTTGTAATTTATTAGCTGGATGCTTTGAAATTGACTGTGGACAGGACTTCTTCTGATCTAGAGTCTTTGAGAACACAAGTAACCAATCTGAGGAAAGAAATCCAGAAAAAACAAGCCAGGTAAGAAACAGACCTTTAAAAATATCATTTGTAAGGATTAGTAATATAATCAAATCCTTGAGATAGCAAAGAACTTTAAATAATGTTGATGATTAAAGCTTCCAACTTTATGGTCACTTCATGTCATACTCATTTCTGGCACTGGGCAATTTAAGAAATAGTCCTGGTAATCCTTGTTTTTAAAGGACATGAAAAAATCAGTGAGCACCTTGGTTACCATAGGTTAAAGTTTAGCCTGCTTTCCTAGGCAGCTGCTCACTAAGGCATACTGCTTGGTTTTGGCACTGTTGTGCATGCAACATGCATTTCACTTGTTAAATCGTAATTTTGTTTAGATTAAGCTTTCTTAAAGAAAAAAATGAAAGTCTTTCCAAGAAGCTGAAGCTTGTGACTGAGGAGACACTCAGTTCAGAAGACAAAGCTTTGAGGATGGAAGAAATACTAAAGGAGGAAGAAAGAACCGTCAAGGTACAATGTTTTTTGCAAATTAAGTATAGGAATAAAAATATCCTAATTCATTATCTGATGAACTGCAAAGGGCTTTTGAATAAATGCAATGTTGTAATGCAATCATCTGAACTTTCCTGCGTTTCCAAAAATGTTTCTACTGTTTTTTCATTTAGCTACTAATTCTTTTAAAGATTTTTACTGCTTGCTTCTGACTGAACTTGATGCAAATATTTTTTTACATTTTGCTGGACGATTGAGTATTGAATACACTGAAGCTCTCTTTCCTGTAAGATGACAAAGTTAAAGGAATGTGACAGGAGCTGTTCCCACACAAGTGACAACAAAGCTGTATCTCTGCATACCACTGTATACTCTTTTTTTTTCCCTATTTTTTGTTTCTTGTAGCGTGTATGTGAAATAATCCCGTGCAGTAGACTGAGCATTATTTTGCAAACTTTTTAACTCCACAAGCACTAACTGTACATTTTAAATATACATACAGAAACTAGAAAGGGGATGTCTTTCCTTTCTAGGGAGTTTTTTAAATTACAGGCCTTACTGTTTCCATTTTTCAGATAATTTGAAAACAAGTTAGAATGAAGTAGCATTTTGTTAAGATGAAAACCTTATTTGCTTCCCCTTAAGACTGTTACCAGGGTGGCTAAACCATTAGCAGGGTTTCTCTATTTGCATCTGTGGCGGATAACCTAAGATGACATTGAGCTTGGCAGCTCCACAGCTTCAGGGTAATATTTTAACTGGGATGAACCGTTCTCGAACAATGTCTGTAATGTATTAGTCAGAAGCATGCTTTCCATCACCATTAGACACACACGTCTCTTTGCTGCATCTATTAATTTACTGTGAAGAGATATTTACAGGAACAATGTGGATGAAATGTCACCATTTTGCGCTTTAGCTCTGAGATACTTCTCCCTCTTCAATCTGCAGCAAAACACCGTTGCACAGTGAAGCTTAGTGAATATCTCTATTAACAACGTCACTTAAAGGGGGAGAAATAATTTCTAATAAATAAGTGAATTTAGGAACGCAAGAAAGACTATGAAATGAAGGTCAAATCATGATCCAGTTCTAGTAGACAAATTCATAATTTTCACTAGCTTCAGAAATACAGCTCAGAATTGGGCACATGCATAAAACCAGTTAACTTCGGAAATTTAGTTCCTTTGTTCAGGCATGATCCAAGGCCCACTGACATCAGTGTAAAATGGTACAGGCCATAACAATTTCATACTAAACCTACACCTGCTTTTTACTTCCTGAGGTTTGGATTTGGAATTGCACTTAACAGCATGTTCAGCTACAAAAAAAATATGTCTGGTAGAATGTGATTATGAGCTCTTAGAGAAGGAGTTAAGTTATCTTTTGCCATTATTAAAGCCAGCAAGAGCGTTCACAAGCAAATTTCACAATGTATACCTATAAAATCAAGCACATCTTTTAATCAGTATAGAAAAGTGTGTTCTAAGGTGTTTTGCTGTATTAATTTAAATGTACATCTTGAAACTCTGTACTAGACTTGAGCTAAATGTAAATGAGTCTTTCAGAACAGGATTGTGATGCCACATCACTCGTTTTAGAGATGTGCCTTACAGGGAACTGGCCAAACAGCCTGAGCTTTGGAAGGTCTTTGGTTATTTGGGTGGAGGGGGTGGAAGGAGGGAGGGAAAGAATAAAGTTTTCTTCCTTGTTAGGGTTATAAAAAGAAAATAATCTCAATTTTGTTTGTTTTCAGTACATTTCAGGTAACCTGAAATGTTCAGCATTGTCTTACTATAACAGACCCTACTAAAACCTTATTTGCTGCACTGATTTAGGTGTTAATGGCAACTTACCTCTGAGAATAAGGAAGTGATTTTAAAATATGGAATTAATTTTTCACACAAAATTATTCCAATTTATATAAACACAAATGTAAATACATGTGCATACACACAGAGTTACAAGTTTTAATAAACCATTGAAAAGCTTTGTATTATATTTCTCTAAATACATATACTAGAAGAAATAAGGAGGGGGTTTTTGAAAGGATGACAGGAATTTAATTTTCTGAAAGGCTGAAAAGAGTAGCATTCCCATAATGGAAAAAAAAAAAAAGGTCATGTAATGGTAGGGTAGGATCCAAGTTTGTTGGTTTTTTTTTTTTAATAAAAAAAAGGAAAAAAAGATTACTTTCTTTTTAAGTCAAAGACACTTCTTGTCAACCATTCTGAAGACCTGTGAAATTTTTTGTTCATATTAATGGATATAGTATTGACATTTTTTCATCTTCCTGTATATGATTAATAAAGGCAAGTAATTCCTCAGAAATTACTACTTATGTGATTCCTTCTTACTACTTAATGATTAATTTGTCACCAGGAAAAAGAAACAGAAATGAACCAGTTAAAAGAACTACTTTTCAAGAAGACTCAAGATTTAAAGGTGCAGAAGGATAAGGAGAAGTGTGTTCTAGCAGAAATTGAGGGAAGTAGAGCATCACTTAAAAATCTTAAGAGTAAACTGCACAGACTTGATGCAGATGCATTAAAACAACAAGAATTAATGTATAACCAGGTAAATATTAATGTACTTTCATACTGTGATTGTTTCTTGGGTCTAATAGGAGTAAATGTAATCTTTGTCACATCTTACTATTTTGGAAATGCCATGCAGTATTATTTGAAGTCTGCATCTATTTCTCTCTCTAGATGTATGGATAAAATTGAAATAACTTAAACTTGCTATAGTATCACCTAAATTATGCACTTGTGTATTTCATTATTTTTTTTGGATCTGCTACTTTTCCCACTAATTTCTCAAATCAGTTCTTTACTTTGATCCCCCTGAACCACAGGCACCTCAGGGTAAATTTTTAAAGCAATACAAGAGGTACATGCCAAAATCCTGTTATTTACTAATTGGATTTTGTGCCTATTTCCTATGCATCACTTTGAAAATTTGCTCTTTTACATCAGCATCCACTGGTAACAGCAAGATGGCAACTCCGCTGTAAGCCTCCCTACAGCAGACTGTGCTGAGTATGCTTTGTTCCTCTTCTAGAAGATTACTACTGAACCATCACTGCACATCAGTCATCTCAAAATATTTTGCTAATGAGGTCTATAAACCATAAATTATTATAGAACAATAGTTTAATTGGGTGACTGTCCTAAAGCCAACATTTAGATCCAAGTTTATATCCAGTGTTTTAGCTTTATAGGAAGGCTATAATTGCTTATCTCAGACTATTAATTCTCTTAAAAATTATTTTAACAGGATTTTTATATTCAGCAAGTACAGAGACGGCTGTCACGGTTAGAAGGGGAGGTTAATGCAGATGAAAAACAAGTTTTGGAAGCAAAAATTGCTGAACTTAAGAAAACCTTAGAAGAAAAGAAAAATGTATATGATATTTTACAGGCACAGCACAAGAAACTTCAGGTAACTTCCTTAGAACATCAGGCTGACTATGTAGCATTTAGATATCTCAGTGAATTAAGTAGATTGGATCTTATAACTTGGTATTAGATTAAAAGATATCTGAACTTAGTGTAAAACTTCATACATTCCTTATGCCTTCTGGAAAAATAGGTCATGACTTCACAACTGAGACACCTTAGCAGGAAGACAAGCACTGAAATGTTGGAAAGGCAAGCTTAGCTTTCATTTCAAGATATGACTGACTGCTTGCAAATGTCTGAATTTATCCTTAGGACTGTGTAGAAATAGGAGAATGTTATGCTGTGATGCTACTACTTGCTCTTGTATTTTTCATAAAATTATAATTACAGTTGCATTTTAAAATTGTACAAAGTAACATTACTGAATTGAAGGTACAGGATTTGAGTTAGCTGACTCCATCCTGATACATAATTTGGAAATACCATTTTTCTGTCTTTATTCTTCTCTGAGAATTTTGCATTTACATGCTTGTTCTCTGGTTTTCCACTATCCAGTGGCCATCATTAATTATCTAAAAAATGCACTTACCTTTCTTGTGGGTATGAACAACTCAGTTATTCTGTAGCCAATTTTAAATTTATTTTTATAAGAAGTTTATTTGTTTATTAATTGGCTACATTTTAGCACATTTAGAAACCTATTTTCAAAGAGAAACCATACAAAGACAAAAGTCAGGTTTTTTAATAAAAGTTCAGAACTGGTTTCTCAAAGTGATACTTAAGAAAAACATTGATCGATTTAGTGAGAGGAAGAAACTGCTTATAGGAGAGCCCTTTAACTGGAGATCCATGCACACACTTCAGGTTTGAGGAGATGCAAAATTTGAGCAGTGAGTATAATTAAAGATTGAAACACACCTCCAGGAATTTATTGATACTTGGGAGTATTATCAAAGACAGATGGTTTTATGAAGATGAACTACGAATATCGAAGTCATGGTCAGACGTGCCAGGAGATATTTTTTATCTAGACCAAAATACATGATTATATTAGAATTGCTTTATTGTCTGAAAGCTCTATAAATAACAATTGTATAAATAACAGTGACTACACTCTAAATGAAACAAGCAATGACATTAATATTGCAACAGCACTCTGCATGAGGACTGCAGTGCTCTAGGCACTGTTTGCAGAGCAGCATATGGACACAAGATGATGATGGTTCCTGGTTCCAGGACTTAAAACAGCTCATTTAAAATTAACTGTTAGCTTTTGGTGCAAATGACATTCACTGAAATAAATTAAACATAACTTATTTGTAAACAGAATGATGTCAGTTTCATCAAGAGAGTGATGGAAAAGACACAAGAAGAAACAAGTGGCATGATGATCAAGATAAATGAACTGAATCTTTTCAATGAGAGATCAGATCAAGAGTTAAAAAAAGCTAAAGCCATTAAGCAGGTACAGTATTACTTTGCAATTTTACTAACACAGGACACGTTTGTTTGTTTTTTAAAAACACATAATGGAATGACTTGATCTGACGTTTGTTGTCTGCCTGCCATAGTGCTGCATCATTATATCCAGAAGAACCCCTTTTATAGTTTCTCAACTTAAGCCTTCCTTCTCAAACTTTGAGGTCACTTTCATCACTATTATCTTACTAGGAAAAGTATTACTTCTCCTGTACCTGCAACGTGAAATTTATTTGTGTTATCAATTTAATCACACATTACTTATAACACAATATCCACCTGGTTAGTGTTGGGTTTTTTTTCTGAGAAACGATTGCCTCTAAAATAGAAAATATATTTACTGTTCAAGGACACCTTTACCTAGCACTGAATTATTATTCTCAGTCTGTGATGCCAAGTTTGGCTCAGTTTTGTTATTAAATTGTGGGACTTCTTCCAGCAGATGGTAAGGATCTATCCACATCCTAATTTAAGGTATTAGAAATAAAATTGAAGTCTTTTTCCTCATATTTTGATAAACAGAAAAAAGAGTTCCCAGTCCTTTAATAACTGCAATTTTTTTTCCTGCCATACAGTCTAGCCTTCTTAAAAGAAGCACTAAGGTAGTAGAACAATACAGGGTCTAAGTAGCAGGGGGAAGTTTTGCTATGGACTGAACTGGTGCACCTGCTCCTCAATGAAAACTCTCCCTAACCTCAAACTTTTCTGTGGGGATGAAATTCAGGGGAACAAAAGAAAGAAGCTGATGGAATAACAGAACTCAGAGAAAAAATGGTGCAGACTTTGGGATCCATAAGAGGGGGGGTTTTGTTTGTTTGTTTGTTTTTTAATGATTCAAAGTGTTTGGATTCTAATGAAGTTTTTGTATAAATAAATTTGCTCGTATAACAACATGACTTGTAGACCTACAGAGTTGAGCACATATCCCAAGAGAGTTAAAATGATTCAAGTGAGATATTAACTGCTTCAGAAAGTTCCTTCTAAGGTCTGCTTAATTTCTTTGAAACCACCTTTATAGTCTTACCATTTGTAATACTAAATGAAAGAAAGCTGTAGATGGAAAAGTCTAACCACCCGTAACTCGGTCTGAATTTGTATAAAAACATTCAGGAAACAATCCACCATTATTGCATTAACCATGTGAACTTTTAACAAATGAACAATTGAGAACATTTTTAAATGCAGAGCAAAATGACTCTTACAGTTTTGTATATATAAAATATAAAATAATGGATGCCTTATGAAAACTTATTAACTATTATAAATATCTTAATTAAAAAGTATGCGTTTTTATTTTGAGATCTTTTTGGCATTTATTAGGAGATGATGGTTGAAGATAATCTTTTAAAACTAGAATTGAACCGTCTTCGAGATACTCTGTGTAATAAGACAGAGAAAGTCCTAACACTGGAAAAACAAAAACTGGAGTTAAAGAAAGCCATAGCAGAAAGGACTGAGGAAATCAGGATTCATAAGGCAGTGCTGGATTCCCAGATAAGACTTGTGGATCAGGAACGGCAACGCTTAAGGTAACTTTATTCTTATATAAACTAAACTCCTAAGTTTTACTGCATGTATTACATGGGGACTTACTGAAAAAGAGAAGCATTTTACCCAATTTCACCAGTTAGAGGAACTGAGGATAAAATAAATCTTGCTGAAAGTTATATACTGAGACAGTTGAGGGGAGTGAGAGATCCCTTCTCTAAAATCCATCCCCCAGCTTTAACTATTTGGTGAACAAGAGATTACTGTTAGTGATGATCCTTGACAGTACTGAGGAGAAACCTCAGTTGCAGACATTTTTGAAGTAAATGTCATGTGTGCGAACCTGTGTTTTTCAGAAGAATCAGGAAATGTGAAATCAAGTGTCTGGAGGTATGATAAAGTATTTAAAATAGAAAAGTTGCTTTTAAAGAGGGTTTATTCCCAACTACTTAATAAAACTGTAATTTCTTTGACTCATACAGTGAGTGTGTTTGTTTTGGGTTTCTGGGTGTTTTGGTTTTTTTCTTTTAACAAATGAGCACTCCTTTATGTGTCCTATATAACAAAATTAAACCTTCTGAATTATGTATGTATCCTCTTATAAAGCAACCACATATGAAATAACTTTTCCCTTCTGTAATAAAAATTGCAAAGTATCTGGGACAGTTTTAGCTCTGAAATCTCAGTATCTACATCCAGCCAAAAATCAATGCTTCAGCAGCTGAACTGCTGAAATCTGGCAGGCTTTTTATTCACTCCTCTGCTAACCACACCCCACACAACAGGAAATTAGAGTGATTTAGTGTGACTGAAGCTTAACTGCTCACCAAGAGTGCAGCCTGTGTGGCTTTTTTCCTTTGATAATTACACAGCTAATTGATACTTCCATGTAATTTGATTTGGGGTTGTTGCCTACTGTTGCTTACACTCATCTAGTAGTGGCAATATTAAGATAATATCAGCAGGGGGCAGCTTGTGCAGCTGTAGGATTTAAATGCCAAACCTTTAAAAATTTTTGGGGAGGACTGTGGCAGAGCCTCCCGGGATGCAGTGATCTGGAATATGAAAATAAATTTGACTTAGTTTAGAAGTGTAAGAGAAGTGTAAGTAACCAGAAAAATGGGTAACTGGGGCTGGGAGAACACAGAAAGCAGCAAAAAAACAGCAGCACCACAACTGCTGCCCCACCTGCCTCCTAGTACATGGGCAGGCTGCTGGAACAGCACCAGTAACTGAAACTGCAATAGCAAGAACTGCCCACAAAACCCTCTCAGACAAACCCTTTCTCAAGCCATTTATTTTTTTTCCTAAAATCAATCAGCGCTGAATTTCAAGATCGTTTAAAGAAAATTGATAAACTGAGATGCAGATATGAAATTCTTACTGTTGTCATGATGCCACCCGAAGGAGAAGAGGAGAAAACTCATACCTACTATGTAATTAAGGTATTTTATTAATAGAATTTATTATAATTCAGGTATTTAAGCTATAGATTTCCCTGGGCTCTATTCAAGTAACTAGGACAACCTCCTTGCCTACTGTTTACTTTCAGTCTAATTGTTTTACATTATCTGACCCCGTTGGTTATTGGAATGATACAGCAGTCTCACATGAAGCTCTGCAGTCAGCACTAATCCCAGTGGAGACTTAGTTTTGAGTAGTTTGAAAATTTTCACTTCAGTGCTCGTTAATTTACAAAGACACATGAAGTCAGGTGGTAATAGGATACAAACTGAAACGTGTTCAGCACAGTCTCACGTGATCTTAAATTCTTCTACGTTTCAAAGTTATTTTTAGGCATTTATTTTTTGTATGGCATTTATAACTTGAAGAATTAGGTTGCCCAAGGAAATAGGTTGCCCAAGGAAGTTGTAGATGCCCCCTCCCTGGAAGTGTTTAAGGCCAGGTTGGATGAGGCTTTGAGCAACCTTGTCTAGTGGAAGGTGTCCCTGCTGATGGCAGAGGGAGTGGAACTGGATTATCTTTAAGGTCCCTTCCAACCCAAACCATTCTATGATTCTATGAATGTCAACTTTTCCCTTTTACATATCAATCACCTGTGCATACTTCAGCTTCTCATTGCGGGGGGGTGTGGAGGGAGGGAATCAGTCTTTATCCATAATGCAATACCTTGATTCTGGAACAAAAATTATTTTTGATGTCCGCAAATTACCTGATTTCCTCTTAAAGCAAAATGCTTCTTTCTACTTGTGATCTTGGCTCTGAAGTTCATCTTTTTCTCATTCTTAAGTGTTGTATTTCTTAATGATGGTATTTCTGCTACTGTGAGATCCAGCACAGCACAAGACCCTCAGTAAAACCCTTGTGGTCACTGTGGGTGTATAACCTCAAGAACTATGGAGATTTTTTTTCACTGTATCAGATTTTCTGAGGGGCTATAGAAAATACATCACTTCATCAGCTGGCTGTGTTTCTTAAATCTCACTGATCACAGAAATGAAGACTTTACTGTGAGCAATTCCTAGACAAGTTGGATGATTTTTAGCACACTTGTTATGGTTTTATATAATGCACATTCTCAACACTTTACTTGGATTTTGTGGGTAAAGGAAAGGATGTGAAGCATGTGCTGCAGTTCACATCAGCAGTGCGAAGCATGGAAACTGCTTGAACTGCTAATCAGGACTTTGTGAGCTTGGACAGGCAGATACCTATAATGAAATGCACATGGATTAAATACCTCATAAACTTCCAAGACTTTGAATAACTACTCCTTCCACTTACATAGTAACTCAAAGCTCTGTTCAAGCCTGACAACACAGATAAGCCCCATATCTACTGAGGATTTTAACCCCTAAATATTGCAAGTGTTTTGTTTTGGTTTTTGTATAATTGTCCTAACATTTTCAGTATGGGTGCAGTCACCTAAAATATCAGTTTTATTTTCAGGCTGCACAGGAAAAGGAAGAACTTCAACGTGAAGGTGATGATTTAGATGCAAAGATCTGCAAAGCTGAAAAAGAAATTGTAGCTCTGGAAAACACTTTGAGTGTAATTAATAACTGCAACAGCAATTACCGAAACTCCTTCAAGGAAGTCACTGAAACAAGTAGGTAAAATAGAAATTGCTATTTGCTGTGTGAATTACTGATGATGGTAAAACTCAGGTATATAGTGGGAAAATTCTATGGCACAAAAGAATGAATCACAGAGAGACTAACCCGATAGTAGCAAAAGGGAGTATAATTCACATGCTACTGTGAGTACTCCAGCAGAGTTAAGCACAGAAGAAAGTGCAGTAAGGCATAATTAACTAATATTTACATTCTTTCATTCAATTTATGTGGAAATCTCTAAGCTTATATGTTTTGTGAATAGTCATATGTAGGAGCATTCGGAAGGGGCAAAGCATAAAGACAATCACTGGGGGGAAAAAAAAGTCATTACTGGGAGAAAGGAGTGCGCACTGAAGTAAATAGGTCTAGTGGATAAAATGTTGCTTAGTACAAAAAGCACTACTTGGTCTGCAGAGCTAATTCAAGTTTCAGAAGCAGAACAAGCTGTGCTACTGCTGGCCTTCTCTTGGCCAGCTTGGGCACAAAACTTGACCCAGAGCAACTATAGAGGCAGCTCAGGGATATGTACTGTAGTGATGAAGATCGCTCATTATCTCTGATTTTCACATGAAAGGGGGAGGGGGAATGTAGTAACCTGTCATCCTGGAAAAGGATGAGGAAGAGTAATACTTAAAGTGCACTATTTTAATGTTAGAAAAACTTTAAAATATGGACTGCCTAACTCCAGATTTTTAGATATTGGAAATTCCTCAGAATTCTGGAAAATGTCTTAATCTGTTGTTTCTGTTCCCACTTAGACTTCATAAGCTTGCTCTATTTCAGGGGAACTTGCTTTGTTTAGCTTATAAAAAGCATCACCATGAGAAATTACATAAACTTAATTCTAGAAAATATTTGATTCTTTAACTTTTGTGCCCTCTGCTGGCTCTGGAAACTGTAGCTCTTAAATCATTCTCTCTCATGAAGCCAGTTACTTTTTCACAGTGATTTGGAAATAGCAGTAGAGTATTTAAAAAAAACAAAACTCCTTTAATCTTGAGATCTCTGTAATACTCTCGACCTTGAGAGTATAATATATATTAACACTCTAATGCAAGTATGTTAAAGTGCAACTTCTTTTAAAGTGAAAATTGAGTTGTATACGCTGCTTGTCCAGCATTAATGCTGCCTCATTGTTTGGGATCATAGGTGAGGAGTATGAGGAAAAATTGAAACTAGAGGAGGAGCAAAGGGCTGCTGATGAAAAATACAGATACAAACGCAGGCAGATCAAGGAACTTCAGGAAAGCATCCAGGTAAAATACAAGCAAAAGTTCCAGTCAAACAGACAAGGCTGCAGCATGTAGTTAAATCCATTCAAACCATCCTACTGAAAGAACAGGGAATTCTAGGACAAGTTTTTACCCCTTCTCTTTTATATCCTATGCTTTGTATGAATGGATAAAATTTTTAGAAGGCTCTTCCTCTCCTTTCAAAAATTAAGTGCTTATTTGAATTTTCCATGAATCACCATGAAACTTCAGGCTTTTTAGTCATGTACGACTAGAAGTTTCAAAATCCCAGATGCACAAGTGACAAATGCTCTGTTCTGGCATCCAAGAAAGCAGCTGTATGTTTGTGTAGCATACACCTTGTGTCCTCTGGCATCTATGTCCCAGGATTTTTCTAGAACATTTTCTGTTTTATGAGCATTAAGGGTGCTTCAGTGTAAATAGTATTAATTTAGCTGAAGAAAGCACTGCTAAGTTAGGCACTGCAATAGTTGTTACTATGCCAAGTAAATCCTTTGTAGACAGTGCTCACAGACACATCTGAAAATACGTAACTCCATGAATAGTACCTTTAAACTAATTTTTTCAAAGATATGTAAATTACCTGTTGGTCTCCTTATCTGGGTATTTATCCACTAAACAGTCTTACAGGCAGGAAGCTTTGAGTTGCATTATCATTACTACTGATTGTTTGAGCTACATTGAGAAACAAGTAGTAGCCATAACAGACCCTCCAGCAAAGTAATACAAAAAGCAAAAGGATATCAGAACTGCTTTATGAACTAAAACTACTGTTCACATTAATTTGCAGAGCATGGAAACAAGTTTTGATATAGTACTGAAGCAGGAGGCTCTCTTCCAAGAGCAAAAGAAGGAAAAACAAGCTCTTATTTTGCAGCTGAACAAAGACATTGAAGAACAGAAGCCAAAACTAGAAAGGGTTATAAAACAGGTCTGTATATTCATTAACGACAACTTCTAACTTTAAAGTGATAGACAATAGTATGGTTAAAACCATCAAATTTAAACTTAGCAGGTTTCTGAAAAAGTGCTGCATTTTCATAATATCAAAGCTTTAAAAATATTTGTGTTAAAAGTGTTCCAGACTATCCAGAGAAATTCAGTCTTTGAAGAAAACTAAAACAGAAACACAGGAAGAAAGAGACATTAATCTTCGTGATTTGAAAAACTTCAGCAGAACGATTGACAAATTGTTAGCTGATGTTCTAGAAGCGAATCCTGATTTAACTCCAGCCTTTCAAATGTACTTTCACCAGGTGAGCTTTCCAGTTAACTGCTACCAAAATCTTGATTGATCGCTCTCGTCTACTGCTGAGTGTCTTTGAAGGGCAACTCCTAAATTCAGCAGTAAGTTACAGTTGCGGTAAAACAGGAAAAAGTGTTCATCTGCTTTCATCATCTCTTCAGATACAAAGGATTAGAAACCCTCCTGATATAACCCAGTCCTATTATACAACCATTAGGTCAACTTCTTTTTTTTTTTCTTTCTAAATTTTCTAGTCCAACTTAGAGCTTCCTACAATTGCTTCTGCTGGTGGTAGTCAAAGTTCTCAAACACCATCCACACAAAGCTCACGAGCCTCTACCAGGTAAGTGCTAGTAATGTTTTCTGGTTGTGAGGTGTGTTCGTTATTGTGGTTTTTGTTGTTGGGTTTTTTTTTAATTTTAAAGCTAAAGCTTAAACCATCAAAATTAATCCCTAAATGACAGAATTCCTCACTCCTGAAGGTCTTCTCAATCTTGTCTCTACTTCCTCAATACTCTATAAAAACTTTCTTCTTATACTCTCCCACCTTTAAGTTTACTAGATTTTTCTAGCACACAATTAAGTTTTAACTGTGATGGATGTTGAAGTAAACTGTAATTACAGAATAATTACATTTACCTTTGCTTACTGTGCTCTAATTAAAAAGTGGTTTCACATTATAAAAGCACAAGTTTGAGCTGCAGCTACATTTTGCACTTGGTAGCGTGAGCTCCCTTTCGTATGAAACAGGGAAGACAGACATGTATGATTTTACTGATGCCTTTTTCCCTTGTTCAACATATATTCCATTAATAGTGCCTGGAACATGCTGAATCAGTTATGGCAGAGCATTCCCACATATGACTTAAGCAATTAGTGGTAACGTTGACAAAGATTTTTGTAGGGAATCTTACCTGGAATAAACACTGCTGCTGGGTGGCTTTGTTGCAAGCCACCGTTAGCAGCTCTATTTTAGCTACAGGGATTTCTGCATACTGATAAGTAAACTTTTGTCTTTCAGATCCTCCAGAAGCACAAGTTCAGGCTCTAGTCAGACTTCATCAGTCAAAGTCATAGATCTGAGCTTGCTTATCAACACTTCTGCAGAAGCAGCTGCTGTTGGTTCACAGCCACCCAGCTGAGCTAGCACCTCTGGTATCTGCAAGCGCAAAAAAAGCCTCATGTACTCTTTTGAAGGCCACAGTAAAGGCTGCACACTAGTTAAAACTTCTTAATTGATTAATCTGTAACTTATTTTTGAGGTTTATTGGCAACTGTAGCATTAACTTCTATCAGAAATGTATGTTTTAACTTTCCCCTACAGTACACAATAAATTATCTAGGAGAAATGTTAAGCACATGTTTTATATAATAAAATAAACTAACCTTTAAATTACCTTCTCTTGTTGCTGTTGAAGAACTAAAGATCTGCAAAACCCTTCAGAAGCCATTAATTCACTTTTCTTATAATGAAAAGGAGAGTTATGTTAAAGCCCTTAATTTTCATAAACTGGTGTCTTCACTGCTGTCAAAATAGTTTTGGATAACATTGCAACAACCCAGGAACGTGTTGCTTCATTTCAAGATCAACCTTGACTATTAATCAAACAGTCATCTCAGATCACATCCTAATTGAAAGATGACAGTTGATGATTAAAGTCAGTAAAACTGTACTTTTTATTTTCAAAATTACAGAGAAGCATTTTTGCAACTGACCTATCTCTGTGGAATCAGCTGTAAAACTCACAGCTGAAGTACAACAGGTATCGTGTACTCTGCCTGATCTTAGTGCCCTGGTGTTTTGCCAACCATCTTTGGAGACCTCACTGTAATTAAAACATAACTTTTTCCACGGCAGTGTGACCACTGCCTTCAAGCTACTTGTAAAGGAATTACCCAACCAAAAAACCCCCCAAAACCCCCAAACAAAACCCAAAGGCCCACACTTGAACTTACCTAGACAATAAACACCGTTTTAAAACTCTCTCTTATTCTGCTTCAGTTGGGGAATTTTTACATTACTTGGACAACGTGTTTGATGTATTTATAGAATGTAACAGACTTTCCCTCACAGGCACTGGAGGGTTCAATTTGCTTAAGCAGAATATATAACCAGTGCACCAGCATGAAACATCCCAGCAACATTCAGAAAAAAAAAAATCAAGACACAAAATTAAAAAAAAATTAAGAAAATTTAATGATCAAATGAGCTATATACATTGATGGCACACGACTTTCGCTCAGTTATCCCCTTTCTATAGCTGGAAGGTAAGTTTATCCACAGTACCCCAGGGGATGAGAAAAACAAACCAAAACCTATCTGTTTTAAAGTGCATATTTGATGCAAGTTACAGCTAACTACAGACCAGGGGTATCAAGGCATTTCAACCCATCACACAGAGAATAGTGTAAAGGAGCATCCCAAATTAAGAGCACACAAAACTTAAGATTTTAAATAACAACTGATATTTAATGTAAGATACCCTTGCATCTTTTTCCACCATACAACTGTCACTTTAAGAATTCCTTGGCATTTTGCAAGACAAAAATTCTGCCTTTCTCTCACTCTTCATCTGCATTTTCTCAAGAGATACTGAGATAGAAGTTAATTTAACTACACTCAGCAGAATAGGGCTTTCTTGGGTACTTTACTGTTTTTTCTGCTTACTTCCCTTTTCCCTCTCAAATTCAGCTATTTGATTGAAAATGTTAACTAAGTTCTGGGGCAAGTTTCTTTTAGTGCCACTTTCTGTTTGTGCTGCACCATTTAAAGACGTTTCCTCGTCTGGTTCCTTTGCTTTATTAGTCTCTTCATGACTTCTTTTCCTGTTCCTACACTCACTCTCACTTTTATGCTGACTTAACGCGTGCCTATCACTATCATAACCTCTATCACCCTCACGTGAGCAGGTGCTCGAGTACGATCTGTACTTTCCCATCGACTTGCCAGAATAGTCAGACCCTGCTGGAGACATGTAATACCTGTCTTGACTTGAGACATGTTTTTTAAACTCCTCTCTTCTCCCCTCTCCATCCCTTTCTAATTTCCTAAAATAACGCATCCTGGGTTTATCATCTGACTTATGATATGAACCTGAAGAACCCCTCCAACTGGAGAAAAATCTATCTGATTTACCGTATTTTTCAGTTTTGCTACTACTTGGCAGAGTTCTGGAGCTACTGTAAGAATCTCTTGAATCTTCAGACCTACCTCCAAAAGTGTCTTCATCATCACCTGAAGTCCTCGAAAAAGAACAGTGTCTGTCTTTCTCTTTTACCTCTGATTTTGGACACACTAAGCTGTCCTGCCTTTCCAGCAGTTTTTCCACTTCAAAACTTTGATTAAGAAAGGAAGCAGAGGTATCAGCCGGAGGCGAATACCACTCCTCTTTCCTAATCTGATCTTTATAATGGGAAGAAGCTCTAGATGAGCATTTTTTGGAGCTGTGGGCAGATACAGATCTATTCCGACGCTTTTTCCTACGTTTCTTGTGATCAGAGGAAGAGGAGGAAGAAGAAATTGATACATCTGATGAAGAATCACTTGATGATGATGATGAGGAGGAGGAGGAAGAAGAGGAAGTTGATACTTTCCTTTTCTTCTTCAACCTAAAAAACATAATTAAGCTGTGAGATAATCTTCAGTATCAGGCAAAAATTACATGTAGAAAGAAATCTGTACTCCCCGGAGTTTGGCTGAGATTAGACTGTAGGGCATGAATGGAAACTGAGCCTGACCTAGCAAGACAATTTAAATGTCATTTCTTTATCAAAAAATTAAGATAAATCCACTGAACAGTTTGTTATAAAAGGAATCCTTCCCAATTTAATATGCATTACACTTCGCAAATACTTCACATTGCGAAGTATTTTTCAAACAACTCTTCCACATACACCTCCGTTAAAGGTTCTATGCAGTAAAGGACACTACCCACAAAAAAATTCTGGAAGAAAAGCAGCTTACCTAGGTAGAAGTTCTACCTAGCCTACTGCTGGACAATCTGTTTGGAAATGGATTGTTCAGTCTCATCTGCACTTCCTGCCATGTATCAGTACACTCTGTGTAACCAAGTTACCTTTTTTCTTCTTTTAAGAGCTTACGCAATTTTTCTGCACTTGTTTCTACTTTCTTTTCTTTCTCTCTCTCTTCTTTGGCAGCTTGTTTCTCCCTCATTTCCAAAGATTTCTTTTTTGAACCCAAGCATCATTTAAAAAAAAAAATTACATTAGAAGTGTTAACAAGGGTATTTTTCCCCCATTTCCGCAACCCCATTCAAATGTATAATTACACCAGGGATGTTTTACCAGGATTCCCGGGTCAAGAATTAATATTGTTCAGGAGTTTGGCATTGGCCATTGTCATAATCAGGTTTATATTAAGGACCATATTGCAGTTTTTATTCCATTAAAAAAAAGTATTTGACCAGCCATTGCAGTGGTACCGTGATCCAGCACACCGTGAAGCGTGGAGCCCAAACAGCATAGATAGAATATAGATATATATATATATATATATATATGCAAGAAAACATTATATTACCAACATGGAGAAGTGAAGGGGAAGAAAAGAAAGAAAAAAGAAGGAAAAGAGAAAGGTTTGAGACAGTATCATTATCATAGTTTACAAGTAAAACATGGCAGAGCCCATTTTAACATGTATTCAGTTTGGCCATGTTTGAATACAAACCATTTTGTAACAATTTCACAGACCAGTTTGATGCATAGTTTACGTAAGAAATCATGTTCCAAGGGTTGGTGATGAGCAGCACCAGATGTCAGATACAGCAACAACGGTCCAATTCAGAAGAAAATGCATTGGAGAAAAACACATAATCAGTATTACAGGAAAACAGACTTCACTGTTGTTTCAGCCATTCTAGCACAACACTGGTCTGACAGTATCAGACTGATGTATTAAAATACAGGTAAGTGCAGAAGAGCATCTCACCAGATGAATTATCCTTAAACTTCTTGAACAGACTTCCTTAAACTATCCTTAAACAGACTTCTGCCAGCTACAGCCCCAAAGAGAAGCTCTATCCATATTCAGAGCGAGCAGAAAGTCTGATTATAATTTTCAAAACTCAGCAATTGTCTTAACAGATATAAGAAAGGAAACCCTTAACTGCAGGTAAGGCTATGCAAACCAACAGACAATAGCTAACATCATGTTTTTTATCTGCTGCATCAATGACCATTATACCAGGAAAATTCTAAAGGGGAGTAAAATTTATCTCCTACTTGCTGAGAACATTATTCATTATTTTAACTGAGACTGACACCTCTTTCTAAAGCAGCCAAATGTGGATAGTGCTCAAATACCATACGATGGTTTATTTATGATGTAGTTCATTTTATTAAAAGAGGTTGTCATATCTCTTCTTCCCCCTTCTTTCAACACGACCTATCAGCATTATGGCTCTACCAACTGAAGAAGTGCCGATTAGGGCCATCTACCCCAGTCTCTGTACCTCCTTACATGCACACGCAGAGGCAGAGAAGAAAACAAGCCTGTCCCTTAGTGTTTTATTTTACTCTCTGATCCTCTCTGGAAAACAACACTAATAAAGGAGGTAAATAAAAGAAAAAGAAATGACAACTCAGATTAGCACAGAGACCCACCAGGGTTCACCAGGGAAATGGGCTGCATGCAAGAGAAGAGAGGAAAAAAACAGGCAGTAGAGAAGAAAGCGAAGATATTCAAAACTGCCTACCCACCTTCCCTCCACCTCCTGCTGTTTCCCTTTAAATCACCTCTCAATTTCCCCTCTCATGTGATCTTCCTGTGAATTCTCTTTGACTGGTGTTACTCTGTCTTTTCATAATTACTCCAAACAACGTGGTTCTGGCCAGCATGATGGCGTGCAATGTTTATTTGGTGCGCTGAAGTGTTTTACACTTTGCATCTTTGTATTCACAGAATGTTTTAATTTAACAGTATTAATCACGTTTGTGTGACAGAATATTCTTATCCTTGCTTTAGCTAACAGGGTTAACAGTTTTCCCTGTCTCCACTGTTCGACATTCCTTTACTACCCTGTTCAAAACAGTGGAGTTATCAAGAGGTAGCTTTCTTCTGGTAGGTACAGCCATAATGCTCGCTATAAAAGATTTACTGTGGAGGAGGGAAGCAGAGAGTAAG